AAAATAACCTCACGTGGGTATGTGACAAGAGAATTGTATTCGCCGCGCTGGTGGGCGTCGCGTGCGACGTCGCGCCGCAAATGGCGATGGTTCCAGGTAGTAGATGGCGACAACAGGCAATTCAGAACCGAAATAGTCATAATGTCCGCGACGACGGGGTCCACGTGAAGTACGCTACTCCAATCGACAGGTTAAGACGAGTTAAGAAAACGCCGCGCCCATTGCCGCGCGCGGCGGAGCGGCAAATTACGATTCTCTTGCCCGTCTCTCCCCTCACGTACCCCCTTGACCATGCTTCCCTGCTCTCGCAGTTAGCAGGCACGTGTCCACTAATGATTAGAATCAGGACACCCACCTCATACCTCATGCCTCTAGAGAGGCATTATCGCAGCCATGAAGGATCATCCAAGGCTGGTCACATTTCTCACTTTCATTCTCTTCTTCTTATAAGGATAAAGAAGGAGCCAGAAAGAAAAAGACATCAGATAACGCTAATGCTGTGTCAAGATGTGAGCTTTTTCGGCTATATTGCGCTTCCGTCTGCTAAGAGTTGTTTATGGCTCGTCTTCAGCCTACGACCCGAAATCATCGTCGGCAGAAAGTGTGGCGAAAGCTGCAGACCAGAGGACTAGTCAGGTACGAATCTTAACTCTGACATTTCTTTGTCTACGGTAGTCATTCTATCGGATCATACTACTATGGGTAGGCACTACTGCGCGCCCACACGGTGAATCACTCGGAACTGGGAGGGGGGGGGGCAGTAATTACACAGACGCTGTCGTTGTTGCCTTGAAGTTTGATAAGCTTCGGGAACCGATCACTAAGATGGGCCAATAGGAAAAAGTTCGGTTGTATATAAAAAAAGTGGCAGTCAGGCCGAGGTTGTACGTGCCTTTGAGAGAAACTTTGCCGCGTTGGGAAAGATTTTTTTTTCAGTTGTTAACTTTTCGCGGTTTTCCCTATTTCACACTGACCATAAACCCTGCCCCTCCCCCCCCCCCTGCTCGCTCGACGACTCAATGAAAAAGTTCTGGGTGAAAAACCAGAAAATGTGGGGAATCTCGGAAAAACTGGTAAGAAGCTGGTAGGAAAGGGGTAGGTAGGTGCTGGGGAAGTGATGGAACCCTCGAGGGGATGGGTCGCACCGACACCACCATTTCCCACACCACGATGTACCTGATGGAGAGACTGTGGAAGGACAGGAGGTTACGCACTGCCTAATCACAACGTCTGGTATCGATCGGCGCTGACTGCTAGCACGGCGCTGGCGGCGTCGACCAATCCCTGTTACGTGACATCTTGAACTTTTGTGCATGGTCCTGTTACGAAACCCTGTGACGCAGACGGATAGAGGGCAGCGGCTGCCAAAGCATCGAAACGCAAAAAACGTATGGCGAGCCAGGAAACGGGATTTTTCAAGGGGAGGGGACTCCGGGGTGGGTGAGCTACTTATAGTCGGTGAAAAGCTGGAGTGAGCGAAGTCACAACGGCCATAGAGTGCCATGCGGAAGAGAAAAACAGAAAATCGACGCCAAGGGATTAAATTCAGGTTGTCCGCAGACCGACCAATCTGCGTCTGTGGGTGCGTTCTCGCCTATAGTAATGGAGCGCTTTGCAACTGCAACTTAGAGCGCGTGTCATCCAAAAGTCTGGACTCTGCGTCAGGCCGTGTGCTGTATAAATATACAGGGGGCCAAAAAAAGTCACTTCGACCGAGTCACATATCAGCAAAGTTTTCGCTGCCCAGACAGAGGACGTGGATACGAGTACCAGGGCGGAAGATACCCAAGATGTTCCTCTATAAGCAGGAGCTGGCTCTCGCTCATCCATCCCAGTTCGCAGCCTGATGAAGAAAGACCCCCCCCCCCAAACCCCCCCCCCCCATTATGGAATTCAATCTCATCTCAAAACAGCTGCGAAAGTTTCTTAGTATGGAGGTCAGCCGATGGATAGCACGTTGGAGACCAGTACTCTCGATCTGGAAGATCTCCAACATCGAGCAGCTCCGACAACGTCGCCACGGTCTAGGACATCATCTTCACCACAGTCGCCAAGGCGCGGGGATGGTATGGACCGGACGTACCTGGAATGGAAAGACCAATATTTTCTTCGTGGACCCCGGACTGAAGGTGAGCGCTGGCGGTTACATCGAGCAACTCGTGAGAATATCCTCCTCACATGTCGTCGCCCGTACCTTCTTGGAAACTTTGTACTGCTACAGCATTGGGTGCCACCACATGGAATCGAAGGGCATTGGAAAAACTCTCGCCCACTTGGAATGGAAGGGGGCTGAATACCTAAAGAAGGTGGAATATCCAAGTAGGTCACCTGACCTGAATCCCCTCAATTACCCGGTTCGGGCGGAGTTCAATAGGGTGGTCTACGGTGGCGGAGAAATCGACTATCTCGCTGATCTCAGGCATCGCGGTCGCGTGCCAGAATCTCTCGATGGCGCTCGTCCAGAAGGCTGTGGCGGAGTGTCATGATAGTATTTAATATGCTCTTTAATATGGTGGTAAAAATGTCCGATCAGAATTCAATAAAGTGTAACTTATAGCGCCTCGAAAGTCAATGAAGGAAAGTGACTTTTTTTGCCCCCCCCCCCTGTAGATTTCAATACAGATTCCTATCAATGATCAGCTTTGTCGGATCTACCATGTTGTGCACGCGATAGTGCGCGTTGCGTGTCATCCAAATGATAAATGAGAAGCTACGATTAAAGGAACTGAAGTACTTCACACTGCAATTCGAAAGTACATGAGCACAATGATAAAGTATTAGTGCATGAGGGAAAACTAGCCTGAAGATTTGCTCTACACTAATTTTCGTGGTCCCCTATTCGGCTAATGAGGACCACTCGGCCGTGCTCCTGTATACCTTTCACAAAAAAAAACTCAGGTTTAGAGTGCGGACGACCAGAGTCGCCTAGGGATGGTCCCAGAAAGGCTCCGTGGCAAAACTCAGCCAGGCGAGTACGGCGCGGTTTTTTGACGTCACCGCGGCGGCAGGGCCCAGCGAAAGGCGATGCGCCCCGCCGATACTGTGCTCCAATCAACAGCCGCCTTTATGGGGAAGGAAAAAGAGGAAAAAAGAGAGAGGGAAGAGGACTGAACAGATAGTGGATGCTTACAGGTGAGTTAGTGGTAGTGGTGAGAGAATACAGAAAAGTCGACTATCAGGGCGAATTACTTCAGCAAATGGCAAAACTGGCGAAATAGTTCCCTTCGATTGTGAAAACGACGCAAACAGCTCTTAGCAAACGTTTAGGGTGAGGTTTGGCAAATTGACCAACAGTTGGGTGTGACCTTATAACAGTATAGCGGTAATCGGAAAACGGAACGGAAGAGAACGATCTCACCTGCTACGCCATTCACTAAAGTAATTCGCCCTGATAGTTGACTTTTCTCTATTCTCTCACCACTACCACTATCTCACCTACAGGCATCCACTAATTGTTCAATCCTCATATTCTCTCTTTCTCCCTGTTTTCCCTCGCAAATAAAATCGGCTGCTGATTGGAGCACAGTGGCGGAGGCGCAGGCCATCGCCCTTCGCTCCGCCCTGCCGCCGCGCTGACGTCAAAACCGCGCCGCATACGAGCCCGGGTGAGTTTTCCCTCTTCCGCCCAGAAAGATGATATAGTATCCGCTTAGCCTATGCCTTGATTAGACCAAGGGATACCAAGGCGCTGACGAATTTTCCCTAGATCCCTCTCCCAGGTCGCAGCTGTTGGTGACTCTCACATTAAGCTGCAAGCCTCTCATCGATATGATACGATTCAGTTGAGCACGTCCAGGTTCAGAAGTGTGGAGCTGTGCCGCTTGGATACTGATGACAAGGTAGTAAGAGATTCAGTTTAAAGAAGAAAGCAGAAAATTCTTGCTGGAAATGCCTCAAATGCCTCATATAGAAGTCCATGCCAACATTTGCACACGAATGAGGCAAAGAAAGGGCCGTACGAGTTCTCTTTTGTTGGTGACAGCTCTCTCTCCCTATCATCTCACTCTTACCATTTGAAATAGAGAGAGACTCACTAAAGGAACAATCGCACCATCAAGTAGCACATGAAAATGAAGTCGGGCGTCGCCGTGGCCAGTGGGTGAAGCATTGGTGCCCTTGAGAACGTGTGATGCCCTCTACGCATTTTGCTTCGAAGGCAGTGCATGCTCAATGTTTGCAGGCAGGACTACCATTCCCAGAGAATGCGCCCGAACATCTAAAGAACATGGGGCATGTTTTCAGCTCACGCCCCTGAAATCTTCTTGACGCAAAAAAATCCTGCGGAAGTAGTTCCCAGGCTACTAAGATTCCCTCCAATCCGAGACTAATTTCAGATTCTCGCAGCAATGTTAGATCGCCGTATGAAATCAAAGGTAATAGTGTTTATAACTATTTATTGAAGGAATAAGTGTTTCTCTATTCCAGCTGAACGCTAAGTCATCAGGGAAATCCCCGGTTAGACTTCATCTGTTGATATTTTTTTCTTTATTGTTGCTGTATACATGTATGTTGTTTATCGCCCAAATGGTATGACAACGTTCTCATGTAAGACGAAATGGATGCCCTGGATAGGTTACGTGGAATAAGAACTTTTGATGGGGGTCCTATCGCGAACGCTAGAGCGCGGAGGAACAAATGACTGCGGCTTCCGAGGGACCAAAAGGTTCAAAAAACAAGGCTCAAGCCAGAGGATGAGCTTTTTCGGAGGACAAGGCGCTACGGAGTTGATGAGCCTTTTATCAGGCGTGTAGAGTTGGAACGAGGAAATCCACTGTGGTCAGAAGTGTAGGCGCAGGGAAGAACAGAAAGTGACGTCATTGAAGGTATTGTTAAAGCTGCCCATAGACCATACTGGGTGTGTGGTTCCTGACCGCTTCCCATCCCAGTACATCACGTAAAATCACCATCAAAAAGGTTTCCGCTTTTAGCACGTACTCCTTTCAAAAGAAGGGTCTTAACCATCCTGCATACTCTCCCCAAGTACGCTGCGAAGCGAGAGGAGCAAGTGTATTACGCGCTTTGAAGGGGAAAAACCAGCAACTATAAAAGTTCTCTCAATGCTGAACACGACCTCCTCCCTCTCCGAGCCGCCAAGTGCGATCTTCCCGAAGAGATTCCCACGGAGGTGACGTAGGCTGTTCCCCATTGGCGAAGTTCCAACCTAGCCAGTACGCTATACACAAGTGGAAAGCGTGCAATGATGTCCAGGGCTCTCCTCAAACGAAATTCGCAATGGGTGGGCAGAATGACTCGCAACCGCAAGGGTTATGCCAACTCCATGGCTACAATGTGCATGGCACTGGCGCCAAAACCTATGCCACTTGCAGCGCCGGCTCTCTCAAAGTATAGCCCCCACAGAGTGTACAGCTGATATTGTCGTGATCAGCTGGGAAGGATGGAATAAGCCCACCAGGGGCGTTCTCTTCAACTGGTTTCGACCAGTACAGACCACAGTGTACCGACAGCGACTATATGTCGCTACGATTCTAAACGTAAGTAGAATGCGTGCCGCATCCCAGAAGTGATTGATCAAATGGACTGATCATCTTTATCATTCATCTCTTATGGCTCAACGGAATAAATTTGCTCTAGGAACAATCACCACAACAATTAGTGAAATCCAGAGGAAGGAGCACTAAATCAAATCGAAGAAGACGTCAAGTCAAATCAGGCGTGAGTTTTTCTATAGCTGTTCCGAGAAAATTACATAGTTGACAGATTAGTAGTTCTGGGCTGTAAATTGCAGAAAAAAATTACTTTGCAGAAAAAAATCGAAGAAGCATCTGATGTGATAACACAAGACGTCATGGATGAGAGTGCAAGAAAACCCAAGAAAGATACTTTGTCGGATTCGAAAGCCTCACCTGAGAGAAAACCGTCCCCACAAGATGAAGGCCCATCGCCTGTTCAAGATAAGGGGCTTAAGTCGCCTTCAGAAACAGAAAACGACAATCGATATATATGGGCTCAGAAGCTGATGCGAACAACGGTCTGATTACACATTTAAACGGTCGAGTTGTATTCCGCGCTTATCGCATGGGCGTAACCGAACTTCTTAACGTAACTTATATGCGCTTTCTTCATAAGTGCGCCCATGGTTCCAGAAACGGTGAAAAGGTGTAGCTACACATGAGGAAGACCCTATGGCCGCCCCACACAATGAGCGTGGAATGTGTCTTTGAGGAAGCTATCACAATAACTCGAATGGGTCAATCTGTGCGTCCTCGGAAATCATGTTGTGAATACAAAACTCGCCGGTGGCTAAAAAATGGTGGCAAATTACGATGAAGGGCATTCTGCAAACGATTTAGAGTCGGGCCATAAAAAAAGTAACAAGTAACCCTGAGCTTATGCAGAAGAAGATCCCGGACGAGGAGACGCCCATGGAAGGATAAAATTCCTCCGTGCACAAGGGAGTTTTTTCATGCTCCATTGTATTACATTTACGCCCAAACTAATGAGCCACTAGAAAATTCTCAACATTTAATACCACCAAAAAAATTTAAATCCAAAAATTCACTTGTCGAGCCGGTAGGCGCTTTGCCCGCTGGTGCACTTTCAGAGCTGATCGATAACCAGTACTTGCGGTACGGCTAAGGCCTTAGCGCAGTGGTGACTCGCCTTCTTACGATCTTCATGGTCCAGTTGATATAGTTTCTCCTTCCAGCCACTCTATACATGAATGTCAATTTATTTCTAATAAACTGTTCATTCCCCTAGTCGGCATCACTGGAACGACAGAAGGTTCTTCTCATCCACACTAGAGCAACAAGAAAAACTTGGGAGCTTTACGGTCTCACTTCGGAACCTCTACGGAATGCCGACTTTTAGTGGGACTTGAAGAATGCTTAATTCATAGTATCGTTTCGTGGGCTATTCATCCTTTTGTATGCTAAGCGCCACCTCTCCTGATACTCATAATTTCGGCTGTTCGGAGGAATCCGATTCACTGGCTCTGTAACAGCACCACGATTAAATTGCGGGTATACGCGCCACGGGAGTGCGTGCCATTCACGTCCTCTCCAGATGTTTCGATATCTTACTTTGCTTACCTTGTCAGCTTGTCGCTTATTAAGAGGGTCTCAGGATAGTCAGCCACCTTCAGTTATTTACCAGTATGTATTAAGTGCAAGGAGAACAGTAGACCAAAAGTGCGTACCAAACTACTGACATTAAACAGACCCAAGCAATATAGAAACTTCGTCGAAACCTCTTTTTTTTGACGCAATTATAAATATAAACCTTCTAACACTATTTTGCAAACCTTTGGTGTTCAACCCTTACGGCAGGTATCAGTTCGAGTTACTGCGATACGCTGTCTCAAGGTGTCGCCATACTTTACGAGCGATCGGAAGAAACGTCCGCACGGGTCACAACGTTTTCTTTCCATTAATTTTCTAGATTGAGCTGAGTTGCAGCTGTGCCCTCTGGGATTTCCGCTAGATGATGGTTCTAGAGGCCATCATTTAGTGAAAACTCCAGAGGGCACAAGTCCAGACATCAAGAGCCTTGCCAAACAGCGGTACTCCCATTCGCTCGAAGAGCATGGCAATCTTCCCTGGAGCTCTGTGCAAGCTGAAGGAACATATATCCGACGGTAATCTTTCAGACCACAGCTTCAATCAGGAGGGAGTTTATTCAGAATAAGAACTACAGACCTCCTGAGGTCACATTCGACTATTTCAAACGAAATGTGAGCAAAAACAGGTAAAATAAGCCACACCTTATTTGTAATTCAGTACATTGGAACAAATCGCTCAAAATTAATAGCCCACTTTACATTTTGTAAGTGTACATACTGACTGATCTTTCTTGTCGCACAATATTCTACTATACAATCCACCATGTGGATGACAAGGGGGCGAGGGAGGAGGGTGAGGAATGAGGACGCAATCAAATCGGAAGAGAAAAGGATTCCAAGGTCAAGGGTGATAGGGTGTATCACTTCGGTGATGATCTTCCTAGGGTTCCCCGCGTGATGCGCGTGATAGGCAAACTTCTCACCCAAAGCTTCAACATAGGTGATAGTGGAGGCAGAAACTATCTAGCAGCAGAATGAACGACTGTTAAAAAGATAATAAATATTAATTTCGTACAGGTACGAAGATGTGATATGCATGGACGCCACCCGTGTCATATTGAAGAACAGGGGAGCCGATGACGACTATATTCATGCTAGCTGGATGGATATGCCGGATGGACAGAGATATATTTGTACTCAGGTGCCGGGCTCATTCAACACATACTTCAGAAATCAAAGGAACTCGAATACAAAACAAACGAAAATAATCACAGCTCTGAATGAGTGAATAACATCCCCGCGTATAAACAATACGACACCCCTCCCTTCCCGACCAACACTCCTACCCTCGTGAACGATCAAGTACGCCCTGCTGATGCGATTGTCTCGACGATGCAATGTCCTGATCGTAAAGGATCGGTATCACGATCACCCCTCCATGCTCGCAACTACTTGAATTTTTGCTCGGCTACCAACAGGGTCACGCCAATCACGCGTTTGTCGACAAATACCCTGACGAAGACCCCCCCCCCTACATTTACTCTCCGAATCAACGACCACCCCTACTCTCCCATCCTACCCCCCACTTTCCACTCTTCCCTAGATTTTTTTCCACTCCCACCACTCTTGTCGCAGTATCTTCCCGGCATCTTGGCCCGGAAACATTCTTAGTTTTCTCGCCCACCCCCCAAAATTTTGCCTGATTCGAGCGGCGGGCTTGGCTACCACGCAAAGTGCATTATCACTTCCCCTTGCCACTATCACCCCCTACGGCCACTACGTCAACGCCCCTGTCTTGTACCCTCGCACAACTCCTCCTTCGGCCACCCCCCGCCCCAACTTAGGACGCGAGGCCCCGAGTCTCCTACCCGCAAACCCGCCACAGCAACGCCAACCCACCCCCCCGCGGCACAACGCTTCTTCCCTTACGCCCCCGAAATTACTCCTGAAGATCAAATAGCCCCACACCCCCCCACTTCATTAGCGTCCGTGAAAAGGACATAAACTATCGCCAATGTTCTCAGAACAAAGTACGCACCTCCCTCCCCTCCCGCGTGATAACGACCCCCCTCCCGTTGTTGATTAATCAATGGTGGCGTGCTACGCACCACAAGTATCATCTTCCACTCTACCTGAACTCTTGCATCTTCACCCCACGGACTCCAATCTTCCACCCCCCACTTATTTTATTTCAACTCCCGTCGCTATTCATCAAGGATACTGCTCCCAGCCCCCGAATCTTCTGAACGCTACGACAGGCATAACGATCCAACGAGTGGGGCACCATCCTTATCATTCCTCCATAGAAGGTATGTGCAATTTTCCACGGGACGCATTACCAAGGAGACTCTCACGAAGACTCTGCCATGGTTATATTCGGAAAATCTTAGTCGGTTGTGATACAGTTCTGTCTGCCTTGCGAGAACGTAAGTTTTTGATACTTCTCAACAGATTCTACTACCGAAGGAACTAGAAGAGGTAGCTTTGCCCGTCCCGCCCTGCACACTCCCTCTTGTACCGCCGTTTGAGACGCTGAGTTCAAATCTTACTTTCTCAAAGCTGGAGAGCGCTTCTCTGGATAGATTGCATCACAGGGTTTTCACGCACCACATTTTGCAACGGTAGCCGGCAGTATCGAGACGCCCCCATTTGCACGAATCTTTATGCTTACTGTACCCTCAGAACTGCTGGGCTACTCTAGTTAACGAACTCATGCCGTTCCCCGAAAGTCCTCTCGAACCTTATTGGACACAAGGCTGCAAAAATGCTCCAATGTGAGCCCTACCGCGGCTTTCACTGGTTCAGGAAGACAACGAAAAATGTGTTGCGTCAGCATACTCCGAGGCTCGACGACAGACTGTGCAAGTACGCCGAAACTACAAAGTAATTACTTCAAAAGAAATTATCCTAATCTCTTTTCCAACCCGTGAAGAGCAGTAGCTCTTTCACCGTTGAAAAACTGTTCGGGACCGAAGGTAACGCCTTCTTGCCTACCCTCGTTCCGGTCTGGGGAGAGTCGTAGACACTTACGAAACCAGTATCATGCTGATCCGCGCGTGGGTGGACTGGACATAGCAGTTGAGTTGGAATCGGGTGCATGCAGAAACAGGACTGTTCCCAACCACATCGTTCGTTTTCCTGTTTGCAGGGGATAGGATGCACAGAGCTGAAGTGCGCTTCAGGAGGCCACGCAGCAAGGACGGCACTTGAGGCTTATTCCAATAGAGCGCACGTTCAGATTTGAAGAAGATATTTTTTTGGCCCCCGAGGCGAAAATAGAAGGAAAGGCGGACGAAAGAAGATGTTCTGATAGTCCACCACTGTGAAACTTACAGATACCGTGTTCCGTCAGCGCACTTCCACATTCACACCGAGAGTTGAGCATGATGACTTGTCAATACCGGTCCTAAAATGCCAGCAGGTAAACATGCCTACACCTCGCGGCACACTCGTACCGAAAGGCGGAGAACGAGGTGAATACGGTCTAAAAACCTGGAAAAAGCTTCGTTTTTAGACTCAAAAAACTATTTCGGACGGAATTTCCGTGCAGGATCTTGAAATGACCTCGACGTAGGTACGATGCTGCACGAATGGCATTAGGTTGACGAAAGTTTCCCGCCACGTGTTTGATCGCACCATATTAGCCTTGCATGTATGTTTATGACTTATCGTGGGGTGTGCATGAAGCACGCAAGAGACTCTTTCACATCACTACCTCACACTCACCCAGCTTGCATTTGGATTCCAAAATGCCGCCCAAGTTTCAACTGCCAGGTCCTGAAGGCACTGTCTTCTTTTCCTTCAAGACTCTGGCTCAAACGCAAAGGAAGCCAAGCAGATAAGTGGATAATATGGTGCTGACGCTATCTCTTTACGAACGTGGCAGAACCTGGAGTCGCAAAGCTCTGGCCGTTGGATTCTAAACTCACTGACTACGACATCATGAGGAGGGTCGACACTTGCACTTCACTCCTCACTCTCCAGAAGAAGTACAAGTTTCTCGATACGCTGATCACTGGAGATGAGAAGTGGGTTCTCTACAAAAAGCCTGTGAGGAACTGAGTTGTCAACAAGGAGAAGAAGCAAAACCTCCCAAGCCGCACCCCAAGAAAGTGCTCCTATCGTGTTGGTGGTCACGACGCGGCATCGAGCACTGGGAGCTGCTTGAGAAGGGGCAGAGCATCAACGCCACTACCTCAACTCAGCATGAAGATTCAAATCCCATCATCGGACCACGCGGACGCGGAGCCGACATCAGCTTCCACCACGACAACGCTCGACCACACACTGCGAAGGCAACCCAAGCCGAGCTGGAGAAGTTCGGCTGGCTTGCATCCATCAGGCCTCTTACAGCCGCTGAACTTGCACTTACGACCTCCACGCTTCCTGAACGTGAAACAGTTCGAGAATGAAGAACTGACATCAGGGACGCCAATCCGAGGTTTGTTGTTCGATAGTCCAGCCTCGTCTTTATGGGAGGAAGGATGCGACACCAAGCTGCAGAACGTTGGCGAAAGTTGTATGACTCTGACCGTGCATAACCTTGATTTCCAACTAGCTTCGTTTTTAAAAGTATTTCGAGAATTATGGCGGGAAACTTCGGTCAAACGGCTAATACTCGTATACTCCCATGGACAGCAGCGCAGGACGCGCTCATCACGATCCTTCTCTTCGCATTTGCTCAGCAAATAAAGCGATAAGCATAGGAGGTCCATTTGTGGGCGGGCGGGCGTGGTGGGCGTTCGGGTCGGTATGTTGTGGCTTGATAGGGCCCTTATAAGGGCACCTTCCTTGGAAAAGGCGCTACGCAGCGCCTGCTCATTGCCGCAGAATTGCGTCCTGCCAGGCTTATAATCCTACTCGTCTTGGGGATTTATCGTGCCAACTGCCTTGCACTCAGGGCAGCCACGTAGTGCGAATGACAGCGTGCAGTAGCCGATCGGGTCTGCTCATAGCGTTTGCTACTTGCTTGCTCTCAAACAATCTCTTTCAGGGAGTCCTATGAAGTACATCACGTATCATACAGTGAATGGCCAGATCATACTGCACCTCTTGATCCAACTCCTACAGTTTCTTTACTCAAGCTTGTACGAAGTCTCGGTAACGGAAACCCAATCGTTGTTCACTGCTCTGGAGGAATTGGACGTGCCGTATGTTTTATTGGTGGGTCAGGAAAGAGATTTAAAATCGCAGTATTGTGCGGCCTCGGAGCCTCATTACTGTCTTAATGTGGGAGCATGAAGAGAGCAAAAGTTTTTTGCAAAAGCCTTAAAAATCTAAAAGAACATCCGGAAAGTCTTGCAAAGTTATTTCTCCCCTCGAATATTTCTCAGCTTACTCAGCAATCTGAATACTGCAGTTCGAAAAGTGGACAGTCATTGTGCTGTCTTTAGTGGACCTGGACCCTGTCCCCATTAGTGTGGAGTCCTGACTGCACACTGAGGACAGCGCTGGCGGAGTACGGAGACGACAAATGGGTATCACTACCCTTCACCCCTTCCCATGCACCTCTGATGGTGTGTAGAAAACACAGCCGCGGATCCATTCACCCCCCACCCCTGGGTGGACCCCTTTCGAAGACGACAGTACAGTCTGTCTTGAAACTCATATTGGCAGTATCATGTCAGTGCTCATGCGATCCGATTTTCTGATCGTTCTTTTTTGAAATCAAGTGCGACAGAGGCATGAATTTTAGGAGTCGACTACATTTCCCAAAAAGTGAAAGAGAACAGCAAGGTTAAGATGGTGGACATGCTGAAAGATCTCAGAAATCAACGATTCCAAGGAGTCAAGACAGTCACTACAGTATCACATCTCATCTCACATATGTGTTACTGCGAAATTATTTTTCAAGCGAGTTTTTTTTTTCGATAGAAAATTTATATTTAATCCAGAAGGATTCGCATTCTTTGTAGGGACACTAAAACAGTATGCAGTCAAGGTACGGTCCGCGATTCAGGTGTCAGCAGTATAAAATATATGCGTCGGAGGTAGTGTGGGCCGCGAGGATCACACCATTGTGCGGCTTTCGCTACAACAAAATTTGTAGATGGCCCTATAGCGGAATTAGTCTCAGTGAACGTCTCCCTTTTTTCCAAGTCACTCCGATACTTCCAGACTCGCCTCAAGGCGTCTTTTCTCGAAAACGAGGCCGCAGACGCGGAAGTATGGAAATCACTTGTATACGTCTAGGTTCCCATTCGCGTATCAGTGTGTGCTGCTAAACGTAGCATTGGATACAGAGTAATTGTGGCAACGTTACAATAGGGGGATCGAACAGGGCTCTATTTGGAGCCGTTAGCATGGCTTTTTTTCTTTTTTTCTTCACTATTGAGTTATTCAGAACCTTGTCGCCCATACGCGAACTCCTAGTCCACTAACTGTGATGGCGAATGATTGCGGGCTTCGCCTTTAAAGCGCGCGTGCACCACGCAGCAATGCTCACCGAGTCCATGTAGGTTATGGAACATCAGGTTCTAGGGGTACTGCTGTGAATTTTTCTTCTGTACGCTTGAAATATCCTCGAATTGGCTTCAGGAACTTCCTCCATTTTCAATTTAGGAACCTGTGATGGTACCCGAAGAGGATTGCTGCATGCACCCACGATGCGGCGGTACAAATGAGCACTTTACCCTACTGCACCGTGTCAGGACCATAGCAATTCCACATGCAAGGCATATAATCCTCATCCCATCCCAGATAATTGAACACGGCACTCGCTTTTGGTTAAGGTCGTTCATGACACGATATCACCCACAAGTTAGTAAGGTATCTCTTCATCAGTCGTCTTGACACATTGCCATCTTTCCAGATCAATCAAATGCGCCCTGGTGCAAATGCCGCGCGCGTGGCAGTGCGGTGCAAATGCCTGCGTGAAACTCCATTTACAACGCTCTTTCGCTACCCTAGCTGCTTCGGGGCCGCGCTGAGCGTGAAACTCAGACATGCTCTGCGTTCAGTCAGTGTGTAGACGCTATCTTCGGGCAAGACAGTCCTGTCCGCAAGCACAAGTGGTGTATCACTTTCGCGGTTTGAAAGATAGCGGTAACGTCGCCATCCGCCCTCGGGCAAAGCAATGCTCCGCCCACTGCCCCGTGTTACAGCCAGTGCTCATGTCGATGCGGTTGTTCCGCAACTACCTCTTTCTTTTCTGATGTTGATAGAGAGCTGATAAGGGGAAATAGCTGATAGCAACAAGAGAGAACTCGGTGAAGCTCGTCATCTTCTCGCTGTATGTCGTAAAAGCTCACCTCGGAGGCGGGTCTCTTCTAGGGGACTTCAGAAGAATTTTTCTCTTTTTCGACTACCTTATTCACTCATATTATTTTATCCGCTTTATCACCCGCTGATCTGAATCTATTCAGGACGGCATTCTCCCTCGCGAGGGAAAGTATACAGAATTCCTCAACAAGTACGTGCACATGCTCACACGATATAATAAGCGAATATCCGATCTAGCAACAAAAGAAGAAGTGTCGAAAAAAGAAGAAAGAAAACAAAAGGAAAAAGAAGAGGGATCGAAAAGTGATGTGAAGAAAGCAAAAGAACCTGTCAAAGGATCTGTAGAAAAACACACTTCTTAGGTAGCTAACCAATAACTGAATCGATACTGGATTACAAACCAACATAGAATTTGCAAACGGTTATACATTGAAAATTGCGTACATCCTCCTTTTAAGATGTCCGTCTCAATTTAAGATCTGCTCATTAAAGATGTCCGTATTAGCACTAATAAAAAGTTGCCAAATATTTTTCTATGAGTGTCTATCAAGTTCGAGTCACGCCCTGCACATCTCTATCACTTTCATTGACTATAGGAGCATGCAATTGGGCATCGGGTAGTTCCGAGGTCGTCGGATGTTGCGGACTTTCTCGAAATGGTGCAGTGGGTTTTTCACCAGATACGAGAGGAAATACGGACGCCAATAAGCTTGGGGGGGGGTGCAACACCTATAAGAGCTTGTCAGCCTACCAGCTCCTCTAGTTTCTATACATGTATAATAGATACGGAGAATCCAGGAAACACCCTGTAATCCTTGTTACCATCTGACCAGCATCCTGCAAACTCCTATCAATTTTGTCAAAAACTGTCGCTTACAGATGTGGCACCGCCCAGGGCTACAAGCTTTGAAAGACGAGTTGTTCGGCCCAGTAGAACCACGACGTGCTGGTCATTCCAGTAATGGTGGCCCCTCTCCGCTGTTGCCCTCGACATTCGTGTTAATGGAAAGTCTCTCCTTTGTACTGTTCACCTAAATGGACATAGAGCGCGTGCCTTGGCCCCTTGAGGTCATGTCGAAGGATCCTCACAGGGTACCATAACTCTCCCCATGAGGTTTGATGTCTTGGAGTTGTTAGGGTATAAGTGCTCATGAAGAAGTTTTTTATGTGCCCGTCTAGAGATGCGAATGTGGTGCAGGACTTAGCAGCTTTCTCCTATGTAATTAATCCTATTTAAGGTAGCATATTCATGGAAGACGGATTGCCCGGATCACGTAACGTCAAGCGCGGCAAAATGCAAATACCATATGTGCTTACGTTGAAGCGTACGCTCGCGGTGGGTCCGAACATCCCGAACTTTCTTTAATCACTTCAACTTTTTGCTCAAGGGTCCGTCTGACCTTCAGCGAGGGATCCTCAAGAACAGTTCTAGATGTTTCAACATCCAGCTTCCTATGGCTGTGTTCATACTTTGCTGCAGCGTCCACCAGCGCTCTGACGCGCACGGAAGCGTCGGCGGGCAGATTTTGCTCAAATGTTGTCTCCTGGGGTAGTTTGACCTCCAGAATACGAATATCACATTCGCTCAGCCCGAAACTTCCTGGCGCCCGCGCCACAGGCGCCAATGATTTGGGGTATTTTGGCGCCGGTGCCCGTGGTGCGGGCGCCAGGAGGTTTCGGGTTGAGCGGATGTGATATTCGTGTTCAGGGGGTCAAACTACCCCTGGGAGCAAGTTTTCAGCGAATTTGGTGATTTCGAGTATTTTGGCGCCGGCGCCCGTGGCGCGGGCGCCAGGAGGTTTTGGGTCAAGCGGATGCGATATTCGTGTTCAGCGGGTCGAACTACCCCTGGAGCCAAGTTTTCAGCAAATTCTGCCCACGGAGAAAAAAGTCGGTCAGGAACTGGCCTGATTTCGGATGGCTGGGGCAGTAAAGGGTAAATAGTGCCGGAATCGATCCTACCAGCAGCGTCTACCAGCGTCCACCAGCGACCAACAGCAGACTGGTGGTAGAGATTATGTTGCGATAGGAGAGTAGTAACTGTCTGCTAACATCCTATCGCCCCATACACTTTACCAGCAGAGGGTAGCATACGCTAGACCGATATCTCTACTTTCTTGGAAGCTGACGCTGCCGGACACTCGGAACGCTTGTGAACGCTGCGCAAAGCGTGAGCCGCTGCCTTCTACCTCTCTGCGTTAAAGGCAGTTGGCACGATAATTTGGTACTTGGCCTAAAATGCTAGCAGGGCGCTATATAATGGGAAAATGGCGAAAAAACGAAGTGAAACGGTCAAAAACTTGCGAAGAAAAGCCTTCGTTCTTGAATCCGAAAAAGCGATTTCGGACGAGTTCGGCCCCTTTATATCGATCCCTTCACATTTTACTTCGCTCTGAAGCAATACGAGCGCCAGGTACGGTCGTCCGTTTGTGGGCGGGCGGGCGTGGTGGGCGTCTGGGTCGGTATGTTGCAGCTTGATAGGGCCTTATGAAGGTACCTTTCTAAGGCGCTACGCAGCACCTGCTCAGGGGCGCGGAATTCGTTAAAAAATTGTTAAGCATTTTAATCCCACACGTCTTAGGGATTTTCGTGCTTGCTGCCCTTAAAGGCAGTTGGCACGATGGTTTCCTACTTAGCCTAAAATGCTAGTAGGGCGCTGTATAGTGGGGAAATGGCGAAAGAACGGAGTGAAACGGTCAAAATCCTGCGAAGAAAAAGCCTCCGTTCTCAGTGACTTGTAAATCGATTTCGGACGAGTTTCCCGTAGGCATCTTACCAATCACCGCTACCGAAGATACGGCTGCATATGTGTACCCATGTATGCATGCAGCATCACGGCCGCTTCATACCAATCCCTTCGCTTCATAATTTGCTTAGCAAATGAATGAATACGAGCGTCAGGAACGGTCGTCCATTTGTAAAATTGTGGCTTGATAGGGCCCTTATAAGGGCACCTTCCTCGGGGAAACCGCTATGCAGCGCCTGCCCAGGGTCGCGGAATTCTATCCTGCCAGGAGTATTGATCCTAGTCGCCTTGGGGGATTTATCGTGCCAACTGCCTTTAATACTCCTTTCCTTCTCTGGTGAAAAACGTTGGAAAATAACAAGCCCTCAAGGACTCGATCCTATGCTCCGTGAGAGCCTACCACAAAGCAGCTACTCTCCGAATTGAAAAGGTATACTCGAAATCCCTGAGATCGGGTAGGCGGAGCATTCGAACACTGTAAGGAACTGGTTACTGGTGGAATATTCCAGTCTGGGACAACTGTCATCTTGTTCTGTATTGGACAGAGACACGACATTGTGTCGAGATGAAAATATCGCATCAGAAGCGTAGACGCCTTAAGGGTAAGTTGAAACATGCGGCCACGCCTACCCGATCTCAGGGATTTCGGGTATAACTACTATTCCGAGTCGAACTAGAATACCTCCCACATTCCAGAAAGGAGTTGAGCAACGGCGAAGACTTT